CCCAACACACATCTAGCAAGTGAAATCTTTCCCCAAGTTGCACTTCACCGGAAGGTCCTTAGCTCGATTGAAATCAACTCCATAATCCGTCATGCACTTGGAATTCTTGAAGAAACATAGGCATGTGAGGTCGGCATCGTTCAAAGCCATGCAATACGGGGCCGATGGCGGCGGAGTGTTCGGATTCGCTGCGGTCACGCTCGGCTGGCATGCCTGGAAACCCTCTTTGCTCATACCACAAACTTTCTGACCATTTGCCACTATGGGTCCGGACCCAAGGGCTAAACCTACTACCACACCATTGTCACAACCATAAGCTTACCGTATCCCTCCATATCTTTTGATCCCAAATGAGCACACTTGTTCTCTAATTGCTTGGAAATGGCTTTGATACAAAGAGAGGGCTGAACATGCCTTTATATAGGGAACTATGGCTTAAGCGAGTTGGCTTAGGCAAATTAAACAATAGCACACTGTTTTCTAAAGAGACAACTTAATATTTCGTGATGAATTAAATAATAACAGGGACATACGCATGATTTAATATTAGGGGAACAGACAGAAGATGGTATAAGGCTGTCGCGACATATTAAGAGTTGGCGTCATCATGGCTTTCAAGTTTTGATTAAGGACGTTTGTCATACATTATTTTCAGATTCAGATTCAGACTTTATTCAACTTAATATTTCTGTTTTTAATCTCTTCTATTGTGTTGGCATTTGATTTAATTTGCTTGGAAAATTTTTGTTGTGTCTTTATTCGAATAAGCTGATTTGTATAGACTTGAATTTTTGACAAAGAAATTGTCTAAATATTTAGAGCCATATTTTTATCACTAAATACATTCTGCCATCTAGTCTTGAAAGTTCGGACTAAAATAAAATTCCCACATATTCATCATGTTCACATGCATAGTTCCAAGAAACAATCCAAAATATACATAATTTTGAGAAGAAATTAATATTTTGGTCTAATTCAAGTTGGTATTTGTCAAATAATTCAGGTTAAAGAGATTGTATTTTTTGTGTTAATATTTCAAAATAATTAGATCCATACCAACTTCATTATTCTTGGAACCAGTTGGAAAATTTGTATTTAGAACCATATTTGAATTATATGAGCCACGAATATCTCATATTTGAGCTGTTTATTAGAAATACATTGTCTCTTGCTATTTAATAATTCAGTACGAGAAATATGTACAATGGACATTTTTTTCGAAGAGTGTTGTTGGAATTTTATTAAAGTTATTAAATTTTTACCCTGAATTTTTGTCTAGGAATTTTGATGATTTGGGTTGTAGAATAGGTAATAAAACTTTAATCTATTCGGTCACTATAATGTTTAAATAATACAAATCATGTTTGAAATAATATATTCATAAATTATTCCTCGGTTTTCCTTATTAACATAAAATACTATCCATTTGTTTAGTCACATAATATATTATTCAGCACAATCTTTTTGCGATTAACTTTTCTTGCATCAAATCATTTTGTTCTTCATATCTAGATTGACACAAGTTATTAAATAGTCACATTTGTATAGTACATTTAATATTTATTGATATCTTGAGTAGACTTACAATAAACAAATGAGTATGATATCTCATACTTATACAAGCAAATCATATATTGAACAACCATATCCCACCATATGGATTTATGGTATATCCTACATTAGTCTCTATAGTACATCCAATTATGATGAATGTTTGATTGTATCAAAATATATAACTCACGATGTTATGATAATTATTATATGAAGTTTGAGGATCATATACATAGTTATCACTATGAATGATATTGTGACTATTACTCAATAATTCAAGAAACATACTCATAGTGGATCAATCTAATATGTTGTTCTCTAACACATACTCATTTATTGATTTTGATATCTTTATGTCAATGACAATATTTTATCATCAATCAACTACACATTAGTCTTGATATATTATCATTGTATAAGCTCACAATAATACTTGACTAATAACCCTTTAAGAATAATTATATTATTCTTAGAACTTTATTATAAAATAGTTTATTTGTATGCACATTAAAGGAATTGAAATAATAATGACAATATTTTATGTTAATAAATGAGATAAAATCAGTATGTTATTATAATCATCTCATGATTAGTCTCTAAACACATTCTAACAATATACGTATTAACTATTGACCTTCTATGACATTTATTCAATTTTAGAGATAGAAGTGAAGGAGAAGACTTTCACACCTGAATTGTAAACCTCAAGTTCATATGTCTATAGGTGTGAGTTCTTCTTTGTCAACGTTTAAGTAAAGTATGTATGTTTAATAATCAATTTACTATTTGTTGGTTGCACTTGCATGTTTGTTTGTTGAAGTCTTGATCTGTATGTCGTAAGTGGATAACTGTAGTTCTAAGGAATTTTGATTTTGCATGTCGTATTTGAGTATCTTGATCTGCATGACTTACATCTGATATGTATCTTGTTGCATTATTGTTTCATATGTTACATGCATTTGGTGGATTTTTTTAAAGAGTCTTAGGAATCTTGATGGTTCTTTCTTTCCCACGATCTGATGGTTCTTCCATTTATCATATGTTAATCTCACACCCTGAAAACATATCGAATTGGACTGTGGCTCGCTTTATATCTTCAGATCGCGATTTGCTTTAATTTGTTACTAGGGTCGTGATTTGCCCTGAATCTCTCGAGTCGACTCGCTCTACTATTTTAGTGACCTAGGTTATAGCTAGCTGTGTTTTTCTCAGGCTAACCTGATTTGTTATGCTTTGGTGTAGGGTTGGATGTTTTGTTTTGACAATTGAGGTGTTCTTGATAGTTGAGGCTTATCAGTCGCACCATGGATCTTGGCAGTTGAGATATTCTGGGTAGTTAACCTGATTTGTTATGCTTTGGTGTAGGGTTGGATGTTTAGGGCTACAAATCTTACCTTGAGATTTAGCTTGAATGGACTAGTATTTGCAACAAATTGGCTACTCTAACTTGGGAGTTTCAAGCTATTGCATGGAGAAGAAGAAAGAAGGGTCAATAATGAAGAAAATGAAATAGAAAGGGTGGCGGGAGACAATAGAAGTTGACGAAAGCTGGAAAAAAATCAGCTCATAATTCCTTTACGGGTTAACTACACCCGAAGCCATTCAACTATGACTTGCAATCTCAAAACCCCCTTTTTAATATTATTTGGGCCTTATTCCTTTATGTGTCTGTAAATCAAATTTCATTTGGATAAGATCTTTAATATTATAGTTTTCTTCTATTTTAGAATTAAAGGCTATTAAAATTTTATTTAAATATAAATTTATTGTCAGTTGAATTTTAAAGAGATTAAATTTTAATCATGATGATATTTTTTAGTTTAATGAATTATTTTAAATAAAATGAGAAAAAGAAATTTCTCAAGATTATTAGGTATTAGTATCTTTTAAGGTTAGATTTAAATAAAATAAAATAGTCACGTGTCATGAGATGAAAAGCAAAGCAAGAGAAGGCGGGAGGGTTACAAAGCACGTGACGACAATTATATCGCTCTTGGCGTGGAAACAATTTTGAAATCTCTCAGTGGCGGCAACCACTGTATCCGTGCCACCTGTCCCGCCCACTGACGTGTCATCTGGAAAACTGACAATTTTGGTACCTACATTTTATTTGTTTTCAAAATCATACTTAAAATATTTCTATTAATTTTGTTTTAAAATATTGATGTGATATTATTTTTATGGATATTGAACGATCCTAATTTCTAATAATAAGAAGGAATGTTATTTTCTCTAGAGATTGAGTTCAAGCAACGTTTACAGAGTATATATGTGTTTATTGTCAATTGACCAAAAAAATTATGAACATATATTACCTTATAATCACAACGACTAATAAAAGATAATTATCTTTTAAATCTATGATTTTTTACCATAGTTTTGAATTTGACAAATCTTGTTTTTCAATTATTTACTATATAACATCTCAACTATATATTTATTATGCAAGTGTTTCATTCGTATTAAATTATATAGTAAATAAAATTCAAGTGAAAATTTAAATTAATTTTCAAGAGTAATCATGTACAATATGTCAATAGAAAAAATTAAGCCTTCATTTAGTCATTGATTTATTGAATTAATGAAGACTTATTAGGAACTCTATGGCAGTTTCAACGGGAATTCTTTTCATAGGAAACACTATTCCTCGTTGTGGAGCTTTTGCTTGGTAAACAAGTCATCACAAGTTTTCAATGCAAAGAGAGAGAGAAAATACTCTAAATAGCATTAAAGATGATTTTGAACCGATAAAGTGAAAATGGTAGTAGCCTTTTTAACCAAAAGTGTGCTTTTCTAAAGAAAAAGATTTGAACTTTCCCTCTTCCCAAACACACCTTCAACCTCTTTGCTTTGTATTGTAGGCTTTTAGCCATGGGAAAGCTCATCATTTTTCTTTGCTGACCGTTGCTTTGCGCATTAAAACTGTAAAAAGGGATGAAAGTTTTTAGAGATAGAAAGAGAAAATGGAAATACATTGCTTCCCGCGTTTTCCATGCCACTCGGTTCCCATTTCTCATGCGTGCAAGTCATTCTCAAATCTCTTTTAAAGCAAAAAGAAAGAAAGAAAAAAAGACTACTAATTGCCTAAAGCATTGATTTGATTTTTATTTAATTGTCTTGGTTCTTAATGGTTCTAAGTTTGTTTTTAAGCTTATTAATCTTCCATTCACCTTCTAATTGCTTTTTGTTGTATCCTTTCTTTGTTTCGAAGATAACCCATCAAAACTTGTCTCCCTCATTTTCTTCCCAATGTTTCTATTCTGATAAAGATTCAAAATTTTCAATACCCTTTGACCAATAGTCTTGTTTTCTATCGGGTCTTTCAAAATTTTCCACTTTTTTGGGTATTTTTTCGAAATCGAAAGTGTTCATTTTCTTGGTGGGACGATATAGTTTGGAAAAGTAAAGTTCTTTGTTTTATATTTCACCTCATCTGTTCATAATCTGGAAACCAGATCTCAAGCTCTGGGATTTGATAATCTTTTGTTCTTTGCTTAGATCTGATCTGATAGAGCCATGGGAAATCATGGGAGCAAGAGAACATCAGAAACATCATCGTCATCTATCACTCTTAGCAGCAATTTGCAGTACACAACTGAATTGAGTTCCTATGAAGCAGCTTGCAAGCTAGACAAAGAGTTGCAGACATTCGACACCAATGTCCAGGCTCGAACCAATCATGTCATCAACACACTAGCAATGGGTGTCGAAGCTCGAGCCCTTTCATTCGATTCACTCAGAGAGGTAACCGGTTGTCTTTTGGAGATGAACCAAGAGGTGGTTAAAGTTATTTTGGAATGCAAGAAAGATATATGGAAGAACCAAGAATTGTTCGAGCTCGTCGAGGAGTACTTCGAGAACAGCTTGCAAACACTTGATTTTTGCTCTGCATTAGAGAAATGCCTGAAGCGAGCCCGAGACAGCCAATTGCTGATATTAATGGCTCTGCAACAATTCGAGGAAGAAAGCGAGGTCGGCGGGAGCAAATACATGAGGACATTGGAAGAACTGAGGAATTTCAAGGCAGCTGAGGACCCTTTCACGGAGGAGTTCTTTCAGATCTTTCAATCTGTTTACAGGCAGCAAATAACAATGCTGGAGAAATTGCAGCATAGGAAGAACAAGCTAGACAAGAAGCTTAAGTACATTCATGCATGGCGTAAGGTATCAAGTATGATATTCGTCGCTACATTTGTTTCCGTGTTGATTTGTTCGGTCGTGGCTGCGGCAATGGCGGCACCACCGGTTGCCGCTGCGCTCGTTGCTGCGACATCGATCCCCTTAGGTTCGATGGGGAAATGGATTGATTCTATGTGGAGAAACTATGAAAATGCATTGAAAGGACAAAAGGAAGTGATTACCTCAATGCAAGCAGGCACATATGTGGCTATTAAAGACTTGGATAACATCCGGATTCTCGTCGATCGATTGGAGATTGAAATTGAAGCTCTGTTACAGAATGCGGATTTCGCAATAGAGCAAGAAGCTGTGAAGATTGGGATAGATGAGATAAAAAAGAAGCTTGGTGTTTTTATGAAGAATGTGGAGGATTTGGGACAACAAGCCGACATTTGTAGCCGGGATATTAGGAGAGCAAGGACTGTTGTTCTTCAAAGGATCATAAAACATGGCAAAAATTGAAATCATTTGATTCCTGGGAGTTTGACCTGCTTCAAGTTGATGCTGACAATGTTGACAAGTTGAAAAAAATGATGATATTTGATCAATTTACATCTTGTTTTGGTACACTACATGTTTGTTTCTTTATTTATTTCATTCCTTTTTCATGTACGTTTTAGGCCACATATATTGTTATTTTCTATTTGGCAAATGTTTCGTTGCTTGTATGTGATTGTTGATTAATATTTTCACCATTCTAAATTCTAAATCGAATTTCGTATAGTCAGATCATCAAATCGATGAGTTTGGAAAGAATTTGCCCACTTTTCCTTGCTTTTAATCTTTATCTTCTTCAGGAGTACAAGTAGCTTTCGGAGTTTTCTTTGAAGATGCATAGCACAAAAGGACCTTTGTTGCATTTTTTTAAGAGATTGTACGGTTAAACCCTAGCATTCTACTTACAGTACATGGATATCTGAATATAGCACGTACCGGAGATTTTAACAGGATAGATTCTCTGTCATGACCCTTCTTCTGTAGTATAATTGTGTTGCACATAACCGCGTGGCACAGGCTATTTAACCTCCCAACACGTACCTCCATATTCAGGAGATGTTGGCAGCCGTATAGAATGAAGTTTCCCGGCAAGCACTTCTCAATGCTCTGCTTATGATGAATAGCTATCAAGTTTGCATGATAAAAGAAATTGGAAGAAAAATTAGGCTTAAACACAAGTTTTGACAAAGCTGAAGATTGGTACCGGACGGATGTTGAAATAAGTGGCAGAAACCATATAGGAACAAGATAAGGATACAACAATCTTGAACCAAATGGATGAGAAAAAGGTTAAAAATGTGCATCCACTAGTCAAGATGAGCACCAGCATAACGTTTACGAGGCACTTGAATGCAGAGAGGTTCGCTTCTGTTCCATGCGGAGGGAAATAACCTTCGGACATGAAATTAGAAAGCAATTGATCCTTATGTTGGAATGTATCCATTAACCAAGCAGTTACTTCCCTTTCAGACATCGGGATGTCATCCAAGGTAATGCGTCTGACGTGAATATGAACTTCGGAAGGGTCAACACCAAAGACATTATCCAAGAAGGATGGACAGCGATGCTTATATCCGATGGTCACATCATAAACTGCAAGCAAACAAATAAATCATGGAAATTTGTCGAAGTGGATAAACTGGGTTTATCAGATGAAAACTAAAGTTAAGCGTTCTCTTAAAAATCTAAGAGATTATAAAAATGGAATAGTTGAATTTATCCTAAGCCCAGATTTCAGTCTTACTGGAGCCTCTTCAAAACCATAAAAAAGTTTTAATGTTTTTATATGCCCATAATTCAGGCATCCTCCAGGTTTCTTGCACATGTGAATCGAGTACGGACAATGAAACTTCATGTTATTTTTTGTTATGCAAAGTTAGGAACTCTCTACCTAGCCTGCTATTTTTTGAATCTGAAAAATAAAATAAAGGTCTGAAGTAAAAATCTTGATCAGCTCTAGACCGGTCAAGGAAGTGTCATCCAAATAGGAAAAGTCCAACTCTTCCCACATTGTGAAGAGATTATCACCCTTCTCTAAGCTGTGTGACATTAAGCTGATATCTAGAAGCTAGTGACCTTAGTTTAGGTAGTGCACCAGGAAGTAAAGCGGGAAAGAGAAACTAGTTGTATTTATAAAATCATAATAATGTGAGAAACAGGTCTCTTATGCTAATATTAACTCCATCTCATGACAAGAAAGTTTATTGGTCACTCGAGGGGGAAAATAGAAAATGTAACATATTATCACCACTGTCAAAGCTTGCTCTACAACTACCTACCACAATATGAGCTAGAAGGGTCCTATTAAAAATAATCTTCTGTCAAGGATATATCAATGTATAGAAGGTTAAGAGACAAATCCACAGGCAACCAATAGAAGGGCATAAAGAAGAAAAACAACCTGCATCCAAAGTGCTCCTCAAATCTTCCAAGCAGGCATTAAAACCCTTTGATTTTGGAAGCAGCAAATTCTTTAGGATGGGTAAGCCATTTTCAGTAGCATATTTTTGACTTCTTAAGCACTTCTGAGCACTGCAAGAAAAAGAATAATTCATGGATTAGTGCACTGCACATGCATCGACAAAGAACCCAAGGTAAACTGTAGATAAAAGTCATGGAGAATCGCACAAGCAGGAAACTAGAGGTAAAATTTCTACATGCACCATGCTGTTCACATAAAACACAACAATATCAAAAAAAAGAGAATAGATGTGATATGACAGCTAAAAGAAAAGGAATATACATGACAGCTAAAAGAAAAGGAATATACATGAAATTCGTTCCTTCAGGAAAGAGAACAAGACAAAGGGGATCTCGGGGATCTTTGAATTTTGAAAGCATCTGGCGCATGTTTGCCTCATCAACCTCCCACTTCCTCTCCACAGGGATGAACTCCAAAATATGGAATGCCCAACCAAATACAGGTAATTTCATCAAGCTGCTCTTAAGGATGTACTTTATGTATCCCATACAATCTTTCCGCAATGCAAGGTCCCACAGATACATCCAGTCAACATCAGTTCCGGTGGTTGCAAATGAGCAGAACAAGTTCCCTTGCAGGAACATCATCTCCAGAAAAAATGACTTTGGTTTTGTTTATTTTCTCAAATAGAAAAGGCCATAAATCTAGCCAAGAACTAAAGAAGAAAGCTGTTACTTTTCAACTGTAATGCACACTGAAAAGCCTCAATACAACAGTACTAAAAAAGCCACAATAGACTATCATCATAAAAGCTGTTGAAAGTAACACCAGCAAGCATACCAGACCCCTAAACACCCTAAGTGAGGTCAATTTACGATGCCTCGTTTCATGATTTACACTAAGAACTTCCATTCCTTACAACTCCTAATCAGTACCTTTTCAAACAAAACAAAACTGCAGAGACTCTAAGATAAAATTATCTACTTAAAAACTAACCAATAGGATGCCTTGCCCCGGAGATGCATGCAAAAGAGTACTCAAAGAAACAGTGCAAAACAAGGCTCGTCTATCCTGCAGAAAACAAGAAGCAAGCATAATAAAGTTAAACGAAAGGAAGTAGAGTTTAAAATACTAAAAGTTCAACCAGCATTTAAAGGATGAAGACAAAAAGAACAACATAACATCAATGCTCTTCCTTGAAAAGCATGATTACTTACTACTAGCATAAAACCTCACATTTCCGAACCAAAATAGAAAGCAAAGCATTTAATAATGTTTTCCTTTTCAAAAACTTGGATTCGAATCACATCCTTCCCCCTCCTCAAATCAACCATACATGGGGCTTCTATGAGATGATGCCAAAATAATAATACTAATAAAATAATTTACAAGCACATTAGATTCTACACTCATAAAATGCTGAATAAGCTCAGTTCAAAAAAAAAAAAACTCCAAAGCATGTTCAAGTAAATAAAAAAACAGATACAAAAAGACAAAAGCTCATCATCTACCTAACTATAGAATAAATAATAAGTGGAGTAGTCTTGCTCAGAAAGGAACGGATCTGAATGCCTGGATAAGATGTTGCTTAAAATCCAAGTAAATAAAGCAAATATACTGAAGAATCCTGTTTGGTTGCTCGGAAAAATTAAAGAACTCAAATCGTAGAGGAAAGTGTAGCAAAATATCTGGCGGCATTCTATCAGCATAAAAAAATGCCACTTAAAAGTTTAAAAAAATGATTAAAATTATCTGGGGGAAAATTGGGGAAAGTGAGTTACCTTTATATAGTTAGGGTTCAAATGTAACGGTGAAGAAAAAGAATCTGCCGGGAAAATCGGAGAATTTGGGGGTTTTGTACATTTGTGAAGAGAGGAGCTTAAGAGGCAGAAGGATTAATAATGGGCAACGAATTGAGCCCAAATTACAGATCCTGCCACCATATATGGCTATTAATTATTGGGTAAATACGCTCATATGTCTTAAACGATAAGACATTTTCTATTTTGTCTTCCGATTATTAAAAAATTAAATAATCATACGACTAGAATTAATAACAAACTAATTATTTTTCATTAAAAATTAATAATATAATAATATTCTTCATATATTAATTATATGATAATATCAAGTTTCAATTCTTCATATGTTTATCCTCTGTCCAAACATAACTTTCCTATCATTGACCGACGATCTCTTCATTCATCGGAATTTCAACTTTTGCAACGTCTACCAATTTGAAAAATTAGGGTTTTTTGTTGGGAGGAAGACTTCGTGTCAACATTTTCTAATGATAGTGATTATAGTGAAAGCGAATTAATTTTAGTGAACTAGAATGCAAATTTTAAAATTTTAGTAACCAAAATGAAACTATCCCAAAAGTTCAGTAACCAAAAACAAAGTGATTGCTAGTGTAATTTTCCATTAAATTTATTTAATTATAAATTAATTTGAGTTTGGACATTTAATTCGTTGGGGTTGAAGATTTTATTAAGTCTAGAGCAAGAGCAACTCACTCAAAACAAGGTGTAGTTGCCCAATATAGTGAGGTGTGCTACTGCTCTAATTGGATTATACTCCTTCCTAATTGTTTTTAAGCTCCCCCTATAAATGTAAATGCTTGACTATATCATTCTCTGCAAAGGACAGTTGACCCATACTCCAAAAGACAAGTCAAAATTTTCATCAAGTAATTTTGGGTTATCATATTTTTGAGATTTTAGTTTAACGTTCCACTCCAGGTTTTGGCGAGTCTGAGAATAGCGTAAAGGATTAATATTGTTGGGTTGTTAGGACAACACTTTTTAAAGGTTGTTCAGAGCAAATAAATTATTTGAATATCTCTTCGAGATATACATATGTCAACTGTTAACATCGCCCTAATGTAATTTAAATTAAATATGATTGGAAATACGAAGAATTTTTAACTCTAAAATTGAATTAAGTTATATATAACTGAAACATAGAGATGTTTGAAACGTTGGATGACTATTTCTCGTGATACAATAATAAACATTTACACTTCGACATTACAATCTAGGTGAACAATCAAACTCAACCTTATTTTTTTTTCTATCATCAAAAAAATATTTTTCAAACATGGTGTATTTTCGTGTGTTTTTAGAATTAGTTGGTCAACTTTCTTTTATTAAAGAAGAAAATTTAATGGGAGTGAATGTAATTTGGAAACAGATTTATTGATGATAATTATTTTTAAATCTTAAAAATTATTTTTTTAATCAATGCAAACGTCAATGACAATTAATTTCAAAGCTATTATTATATATGAAAAGATATTAAAAGAAATAATTACACGAGCTAAAATTTTGATAGGACACACAAGTCCAACTGAACCATATATTTTGCATCACTTACTCATGAGGCAAAGTCTTGCTCATGGGCTAGATAATTATATGCATTGATTTACGCCCCGGCATTTGTACACGAGGCAAAGTCTTATTTTACAAATTTAATGTTGATTCTTGTTACCAATATGGATTGATTTAAGTGGTAAGCTATTTAATATCGTTAAAATAAGATCTCGTGTTCAATTTTTTTTATATAGAAAATTTTGCTTGGAGATTCACTTACCAAAGCCAAATGTGAGACACAGATCGGTCCGAACTAATTAAGATGAAACCTTGTACCAAAAGAACAATAAAAAAAAGTTAATTCTTGCTTATAAATAATTTTTAAACTCTTATAGGTTTTCCATGTCAAATGAAAGTGTCTTATGCACCAAATCTTTTTCAACAATATTTACAAATAGTTTATTTTAAACATCATTTTTCAATCATGTTTAATTGTTCTGAACATATTATATACTATTTTAAAAGTCACATATAATAAAATATAAAATAATAATTTATTATTCAGAATTTTAGTTTTATCAATAAATTAATATACTTCAAAATTTAAAATATTCATTATTTTTCAACATTTAATTCTTCTTGTGTCATCAAACATCTCTAACGAAACTTTAATTCGAACTTGGGTTCGTTTGATTAACTGAAAACGTTTTTCGGAAAATATTTTTTCGAAAACGTTTTACGATATTTGGAAGATGTTGCTTAAACACTTTTTCTACAAATTGATGAATTTTTAAGAAAATATTTATTACAAATATTAAATACAATAAATAATATTATTTATCATAAAACTTAATATTATTAATTTTAAAATAATAAAATAATTTATTTATTATTAAAATATTTTTTATAATTTTATTAATAAAAATATTAATATTGATATATTTTATTGAAATAAAAATATTATAAATTATATTAATTATTTATTAAAGTAATAGTGTTATATTATATTTTAAAAATATTAATTAGTATATTTTAAATATATTTATTATAATATAATTGAATATTTTATTATAATATTAAAACTATAATATCATATTATTAGAAATATTAATAAATATATTTTACATATTTTAATAATTAATATTTTGATTAAAATAATATTAAAATATTTTTTTTGATAACGTAAGACCTTCCAAGGTCATGCTGAAGAATCCGACCCTACAAGGCAACCTCCGGAGGGGTTCAAAGAACCCACCACTCTGTCCCCCCGCTTTTTTCCAGGATTCCAGCCATCGCGGTTCGAACCTAGGACATGAGACCAGCTCATAATCCCAAGAGCCTTTCTTTGCCAACTGGGTCACGCCTACGGTGGTGATATTAAATTTTTTATTAATATTAAATTCATAAAATAAAATTATTTTGAGTATTTATTTTTTGGAGTGAAAAGTTCAAAAAATGACTTACGGAAAATCAGACTGTAAATCATTTTTCAAAAAATACAAAGGAAATTCTCTTCACTAGGAAAATGTTTTATGTTGACCAATCAAATTCCTTCCAACCAAACATTAAAAAATGGGGAAAATATTTTCCGAAAAACGTTTTACGTAAAACAACAAAACAAAATTCAAATAAAGATATTCAACGGCTCAGCCACTTTTTAAACGGCTAAACAAATGATGATCAACGGTTCACATTCGTTCCAAAACCTTTTCAAAACCCCCTATGCCAACGGTCAAAATCCCAATCCAGAATCTGAATTTATGCTTTAAAGAAACTAACCGTTACATATTTTTATTTCAACTCGTGAAAATTTTCCAAGATTTTCTTTCCCATTCACAGAATCACGATCTTACCATTACCATTTTCGCTTCAAAGATTTCAATTCCTGTTTCCATTCCAAAACCCTAAGTCCTATTTCATCCAAATTCCAACCAACAGATAGAGAACGAAAAAGGAAAAAAAGAATATCAATAATGGCATCACCCGCCAAAACTACGTCTTCTTCATCATCGATCCCATGGAGAACGAACCCTATTATGAGGAAATCTGAACTCTGCGACCCCACAAGAAGAAGTTTCAGTGGAAATCCTTTTACAAAGCCGGCTGTTATAACAAATCCCAGAGCAATTAACCCCAAAACTCCGGCTAGTGGTCCTTCAGGTTCCATTTTCTTTTACTCTTCTCTTTTTGTTTCTTTTTACTTTGCTGAGTTTTAATCATCGAGTTCTGGAACTAGGAATTAAGGGTGTGGAACAAATGGAATGAACTTTGATGCATTATTACCGAGGGTTCTAAAGTGAATGTAGGAAAGGAAATTTGGGTTCGAAAATTTGTTCCTTTTCGTGTTAGTTTTGTTAGAAATATTGGTTGTATTTTTTTCTTGCACTGGTGGGAAATTTCCTAGCAGCCAAACAGTAAGATTTTATGGTTTCTGATATTTGTTTATATTTTAACAATTTTCCAGATTTTCCTCGAAGGCATTCCACTGGGAGAGGAAGTGTAGATTCTTTGAGTGATCTCGACAAGGAGAATAGCAAAGACCAGAATCCAAAACCCACAAGACTCAGATCACCAGCCCCTTCAAAGGGTACAAAGAATTTCATGACACCGACAATCTCGGCTGCTTCGAAGATCAATGCGTCACCCAGAAAGAAAGTCTTGGTTGAGAGAAATGAGCCAACTAGATCTTCTGTTTCATTCTCTGATATAAAAGGTCTAACCATTGAAGATAACAAATCTACCCCGGAGATTGCTTTGAAGCAGAAGAAGGTCTCCTTTTCTGATGTTAGAAGCTTAATCATGGAAGATAGTGAATCAACCCCAGAGGTTGGTTTGAGCCAGAAGGTCTCTTTCGTTGGTGTTAAAAGCATAATCATGGAGGATAACGAGTCAACTCGACAGACCGGTTTGAAGTGGAACAATGTTGAGATGCCTCGTGAGTTACAAAGCAACTATCATGAATATTATAAGGAACCTTTCAAAAACAATGCTGATGCTAAAAGCATACTTATGGAAGATAACGAGTCGACTCAACAGACCGGGTTCAAGCAGAACAATGTTGAGGTTCCGCATGGGCTACAAAGCAACAACTATGAATATAAGGAATCTTTGAAAAGCAATGTTGATTCCTTAATGAAGACTCTTCCAGAGGAAAAGGGTTCAGTTAAAGTGATTCCAAGCTTCGAGATTAGTTCCAAAGTTTCTGTTTTAGCACCACTTGATGCAGATCCATTGATGCATACTTATGATCCAAAAACGAATTACCTTTCTCCAAGGCCTCAGTTTCTTCATTATAGGCCAAATCATAGAATCGAGCTTTATCGAGAAAGAGACTGCAAGCAACTCGAGGAATGCTTCACAACGGAAAGCTCTTCTGACACGGATGTTAGTGAAGAAACACAGTCTGAAGGTTCACTAAGAGAATCTGAGGATATTTCTTCAGAAGAAACAAACCCCATTGCTGCTGCCATGGTTGGAAAGGGTTTTGAGGATAAAAGAAAGTGTAAGCCACGTTTTCGTACCAGGTCAAAGTTCATCGCTTTGCTTCTGGTATTGGCCTTTGCTTATTTATCAGTTCTAGCAGCTAATTCAAATTTGGAAGAATTAAGCCTATTAAACTTCCACGTTCCGCCTGAAGTCACTGGATTTGCGAAAGCTAAATTCGAGCTTTTCACTGGAAATCTTCAGCACTGGTCCGCTAGCTTCTTGTCTTATGTTTCCAACACTGTTTCCAGTTCAAGAGAAGTGGGCACGTTCAGTCTCTTTGAATATGCTAATTTGAGTCATGTGTTAGAGTCTGTAAGGGAGAGAGATGATGGAGGTGAACTATTTGATAACAAGTATTATGGAAAGATTGAAGCAGATGAGGCAGTAGATGAATATGAACAGCTAGAAGACGATGAGTTTTTGAAAAACTTGGAGCTGGTCTCAGAAGAAGAAAGTGATGCGGATGAAGATGAAGAACAAAAGAATGAAGATTTTAAAATCTTGGAGTTGGTTTCAGAAGAAGAAACTGTTGCAGTGGAACAAGAGAGTGGGGCTGAGATGATTGAACTTGATCAGTTAGAGGTAGGGAGCAATATGAACCTTGAAGACCACCCAAGCATAACAATTCCACAGGCTACTGAAACTATGTTCCCTGAGGAAGATTCTACTTTCAGCTCTGAAAATTCTGTAGATGATTCTACAATTAACAGCCCCGAAGATCGATTTATTGAAAAGAATACGATGGATTATGCATTGCTTGTGTTGTGTCTAATAGCAGCTTCAGCTTTAATCTACACAAAGAGAGGAAAGCCCTCCTTGCCTAACGCTTCAGTGCCTGTGAAACAACCAGTGTCAACAGTCCTTGAAAGGCGATCTTCCATGAATTGGCAGACAGAAATGGACATGGCCAGTGAATCATGCCCTTCATACATGAGTAGCTGCTATAGTAAAGGGCTCAAGGAACCAAATAAATATAAAAGCCAAGAAAGGAAGACTAGGAAAAGTTACAGGAGAGAATCTCTTGCTTCATCAGATTCCTCTACGGTTTTGTCTTCCTACGGCAGTTTTACCACATATGATAAGATACCTAGCAAGCATGTAAGTAACACTCTTATTATACCTGTCATTTATGGCCAACTACCTAGATCGGACCTTGTTTTCTAACACTGTCGGTTTGCATGTTTGTCTTGAAGGGAGAAGGAGATGAAGTTACACCAGTCAGGCGCTCCAGCAGAATCCGGAACCAAGTCACTTCTCCATGATGATTGTGTGTTGTTACAATTGCACCGCTGTGCAATTCCAACGTTAATGAACCAGACAACCAGTGTTCTTAGGGTGGGATGTTAACATAGATTAGAACTTATTGTGATTTAAACTCATTGTTCTTAGGATGGATGTTCGATGTAGATTAGAGATTCATGTGATTTGAACTCATTGTTATTGTGATTTGAACAATGATTCTTACCAATCTCTTGCTTCATGTAATCTGGATCAAAAGGGGTGGTTCTCTTTAAAAAAATAAATTCTTATATTATATATATATTTATGTTGAAAATCTGTATTTATCCCCTTAAAAATTTATAAGTTCATCTCTCCTTATATAAAATTATACGCCCGTGTCTGTGCATTAACGGGTTAGCCAAACCATAGCATTAGCCAGAAATCTGGTTTTCGATAACAACAGAAGCCTAAATATGTTAACCTATCTACCTGCCTGTTGAATGTGGGCATTAGGCAGAAGTAACATCAAGTGTTATTTCCCTATTCTAAAAGTTTGTACATATATATATATACCCTAAACAAAAAGCCAAGGCTGCTAAATATTGATATTAGGGTTTTTCTTTAATTGTATTTGCTCAATCTAGATAACTAGCCAAGTATTGTTTTAATGCGCCTAGTAGTCGTAGTAATAACTATGAGCCTCTTTGGTCAATGGATATAGATATAGTTATTTCCAACCATAGCCGTTCAAGATTCGTGATTGAGTCAGATTTGATTATAATTTTTTATTAAGTATATTATATATATCTATTATATTTTATCAAGAGATTCGAATTCACACAATATGAGATAATATGGGTTTCATTGATGACTCGAGTAGTTAATAGATTTTTATGATTTGTATTTTGGGTAAAGTAAAAATGATCCTCTGACTATTGGATATTGCTTTGTTAAGTCTCCGAATATTAAAAATTATAAAATAGTCCTCTAACTATAAGATGATGTCCCCCGACTATTAAATGTTATAAAATGGTCACCGAACTATTCATATGGTCTAAATTAGTTCTTTTTCGTTAAAAATTTGAAGACCGTTTAAATTAATTGTTAATTTATTGATTGCGATTTAATATTTCTAAAAATATTATATAAATTGGGTCGCGAGAAAAGGTGTGACAAAATATTAAATGAATTTTGAGACTTATGAAAATAACAAGGTAAGAATAATTTGAGTCTTAATAATAGCATGATACGAATAAATTTAAGTTTTAAATCTATCATAAGTTTTGAGTAAAAACAAAAATAAAAATTCTTGATGAAAATAAATATAAGAACATCTACCAGCCCAATTGACGTTCCCATTATTAAATGAACTTAAATTTTTTCAATATTAATTTACGTAACCGATTATAGATTATCACAACGCCAAAATTAAACCGCCAAAGATAAAAAAATAAAATAAAAAATATTTTTTCCCTCTGCAGTGGCCGGTGAGTCAAAAGGCAATGTTTGGTCTTTTCGGTTACGATGCCACTCTGTCTTTCATCTCTCTCTGTAATTCTGGAAACCGAAGAAGATGAGTTTTAAATGAGACCATACTGCAAATTCATCTAAGATATTGAAAATTCGAAAAGAAGTTCAATTTACCTCTTTAATCCATCTACGACCCCTCAATCTATAACTAAATCTCTTTCAATTTTCCATTTTCTCTAAAAAAAATATTTTATACATGCATTAGTACTTCTTGTTAATCTATACCCGAAGGTTACCAAATTGTCAGTGTGAATCAATCCAAAAATAAATCACCGTTTCCTTATAAAGAAACGACAGCTTTATTGAAGTTTGTGCTTATCATATATACAATTTACATATAAAATTATAATTACATACCTTTTTTAGATTGAACTTTTTCTTATTCGGTATCTGGAATAAAAGGTCACAGTTAGAGGTTACCAAATCAAGTGATTTTACATTTCTTTAAGAAGATCATCTTCAAATTCTTCACAGCTTTATGAATATCCATAGAGTTTGGTCTTGATTTTTCCAAGCAAGCAATACTCAATAATCTCTCAAACCCCAAAACACAAATCTAACATCCTTCAAGTATATAGTCTGTTGAAGTTATATCCAGAGAAACTATACATTAATTGCCATGGAGTTGGAAACTGGCAAGCCGACCATTGCTCCTTATGTTGATGATGATGGATCAAAAAGAACAGGCAAGCCATATTCGAATCTGGGTTTTTTCTGCAACATTTGTTTTCATCGGTTTTAAAGTTATAAATCTTACCTTTTTTTGAAGGAACTTGGGTGAGTGCAAGTGCACATATAATAACAGCAGTTATAGGTTCAGGAGTGTTGTCTCTTTCATGGGGCATTGCTCAGTTAGGGTGGATTGCTGGCCCAATTGCTCTTGTAATCTTCTCCGTCATCACTTGGTTCACATCGAATCTCCTAGCTGATTGTTGCAGGGACCCTGTTTCAGGAACAAGACTTAGCTGTTACATGGATGCTGTCAAATATAACTTAGGTGACTGTAAAAATTTCTTCTTCAAGTACTTGGAACCCCAAAATGCTAATAGTTTCTGGGTTTTTTGCAGGAGGAATCAATAACAAGTTTTGTGGAATAGCACAATATGTGAATCTTGTGGGGGTAACAATTGGATATTCAATCACTTCAGCTATTAGTATGGCGTAAGTTTTTTTTTTCTTCTGATGTTTTGATTTATATGGTAGGAATATGATGTTCTTATGTACGTTGGATTAACCAGGGCGATAAAAAGATCAGGTTGCTTTCACAAAGAGGGTCATGCTGTAGGCTGCCACGTCAAGAACAACATGTTTATTATTATCTTCGGCATCATGGAGATCATATTAAGCCAAATCCCGAACTTCCATGAGCTCTCGTGGCTCTCTGTGGTCGCTGCCGTTATGTCGTTTGCATACTCTTGCATCGGTCTCGGTCTATCGATAGCCAAAGTTGCAGGAGGGTCTGGTTCTAGGACGAGCTTGACAGGGACGACAATCGGAATCGATGTGACGGGCTGGGAGAAGGTTTGGAACTGCTTTGAGGCCCTTGGTGACATCGCGTTCGCCTATGCTTTCTCCAATGTCCTCATTGAAATACAGGCATGTCTCCTGGTTTCTATGACCCTTTTACCTTCCAAGTAAAAGAAAAAGACTAATGTTCATGGAATTGCAGGATACACTGAAATCAAGTCCACCGGAAAATGAATCCATGAAAAAGGCAACCTCGATTGGTGTCTCGGTCACCACCATGTTCTACGTTTCGTGTGGAGTTCTGGGTTATGCAGCATCGGTAACACCGCTCCAGGCAATTTCCTAACAGGGTTCGGGTTTTATGAACCTTACTGGCTAATCGACATTGCTAATCTGTGCATTATTATTCATCTTGTGGGAGCTTACCAGGTAATTTCATTCGAATTTAGACTATAATATTGATCAATGTACATAAACTCAAATAAAATGATGTTTTTGTTTCTTTTCCCCTCCAGGTATTCTGCCAACCAATATTCAAACAGGTGGAAGACTGGTGCTTAAACCGATGGCCAAACAACAATTTCATAAAAGGAAGTCGACCAATTAAGCTTCCTTTGGTTGGGGATTATACTTTCAGTACCTTTAGGCTTGTATGGCGAACAGCTTATGTGATCACCACAACCGTGGTCGCGATGCTTCTCCCATTCTTTAACGGCATTCTTGGTCTGCTCGGTGCCGCTTCATTTTGGCCGTTGACGGTGTATTTCCCGATCCAAATGCACATATCGAGAGAAAACATTCGACCCTTTTGCTGGAAATGGATATGGCTAAACGTCCTGGTCGTGACCTGCTTGATTATATCGGTTCTAGCAGCGGCTGGCTCCGTTGCTGTAATCGCTAAGGATCTCCAAACATACAGGCCTTTCACCTCAGTTTCTTAATGACTTTCATCTTTTAGTAATACAGTTTCAGATAAATTTTCTTAGGAAATTTATTTATGTAGCATCTATTGACATGAAATATAATTCGACCAAGTAAATAAATAAAAAGAGAAGGTAGTTTGCATCCTTCAACATATATTGTTTGAGTTAAAATAATTGCAAACCTGATTGTTGGCTAAAGTTGGCACATCCTCAATGATGCACTTATGTGTGTAACTTCTTGTATCCAAGACTATCTCTACCAATGTTCTGACCAAAAGGTTTGAAATCAAGTGGGCTTAGTTTTGATCGGTCTTCATCTTTAACATATTTCGGATACCACTTATGTGTCTTGAGCATTCCCTCTTTTGCTTATCAGCACAGGTCTCCTAAACCTCGCTTCCTTGATGTGCCACAAAACACTTATTTCACTCGCAAACTTGGCTCAGATCACTTATCACGAGATTAGGATTGAAACTAGCAAACCGTGTGATCTTATACATTAAGACATGAATTGTGGGCCTAAGCTTTCAACTTAAAATGGATATGACAGATAGAATGAGAGGAAATCGAATAAGAAAATGCTTATAAAGGGAGGACAATAAGAAAGATTTGAACCGGATGCTCATGTTAATCTTATTTGCTCCTTAAATCAATTGTAACAATTGAGGTATGAAATGCATCTATTTATCCTCAAGTCCCTTTGTAACTGACAGTGTCTTAACCAAACATAAACTTCATTTACTCTATCGACTATGATTGAAAAAACTTATCCACAAAACAAAATCCTAATACAAGTTGAAATTTCATTATAAACACGCCTTCATTCTCGGCCGGTATTCCATTTTTCTCAGCTAATTTATCCACATTTATCTTTTGTTTCCTTCTTTGTCGACCCTCCACGAGAATCCCATGGACCAGAATTTTTCCTTCTCCAACTTTCTCAAGAACCTCAGATATTGACGGTGCTCTTGCTTGTTCCGTTCCTCTTGATTCCTCTCAAGGAAAAATTTCTTTAATATGGACATGCTTTTCGCAGTTGAAACTCACATGTGGAACTGTTCTAGATCAATTTTGATGACCTGGCGAATCCGAACAACATTCCTAGACAATTCTTGAAACATAGAGAATCTAGATGTCCCTGATTGCACCATTAGATATTGTCCGAGCACTACTCATGTGTCATCTGAGAGAACTTTTGTGTAGATTTCTCATTGAACTGATTGTTTTTGTCGATTTTCTTGAGTCACACGTAAGTTCATCCTTGAAAGATATCTGATTATCATTATTGTTGTTGTTGACGACCATGACTTCATCCTCTGGCGGATCCTCCTCCCTCCGTCTAACCTTTTTCGTGGCCAGTTCGATACCAGAACTAGAAGAAGCTTGTTTATTACCCTTGTTAGAAATATTTTATATACGTATTGCAAGTTCTTGTTAATCTTGTTTGGAAGGTTACCATATTATCACCTATTTCGAATTTTTAAAAAAAGGGTTTACTGAAGATGATCATCTTCAAATTCATAACAGGCTAGCTTCAGGGTTAAGCTTTACGAATATCTATGGAGTTTGTGCTTAATTTTGGCCAAGAAAGCAATCTTCAATAATCTCTCAAACCCCAAAAAACAAATCTAACATCCTTCAAGTATATAGTCTATTGACATTACATGCCATGGAATTAGAAACTGACAAACCTATCATTGCTCATCATGTTGATGATGATAACTCAAAAAGAACAGGCAAGCCATATTCAACTCTGTTTTTTTTCCTGCAACATATGATTTATTCGGTTTTGAAGTTAAAAATCTTATCTTTTTTTTTTTTGTTTTTTGCAGGAACTTGGGTGAGTGCAAGTGCACATATAATAACAGCAGTTATAGGTTCAGGAGTGTTATCTCTTTCATGGGCCTTTGCTCAGTTAGGTTGGATTGCCGGACTCGTTTCTCTCCTACTCTTCTCCGCCATCAATTGGTACACATCGATTCTGCTAGCTGATTGTTGCAGGGACCCTGATTCAGGAACAAGATGCAGCTGTTACATGGATGCTGTCAAATATAATTTAGGTGACAATGAGTTGAAACTGTTGTTCTTTCAAATGCATGGAGCCCTAATGCTAATAATTTCCGGTTTTCTTTCTAACAGGAGGACTCAATACCAAGTTTTGTGGGATAGCACAATATGTGAATCTTGTAGGCACAACAATTGGATATTCAATCACTTCAGCTATTAGTATGGCGTAAGCTTTTTTCTAGATATATGGCTTGATTGATATGTTAAAGATGATATTTTGTTGTAATATAATTACAAGCTCCTTGTTTAATTGTTGATTAACCAGGGCGATAAAAAGATCGGGTTGCTTTCACGAAGAGGGCCATGCTGCAGGCTGCCATGTTAAGGAAACATGTTTATTATTATCTTCGGCATCACGGAGATCATATTAAGCCAAATTCCGGACTTCAACGAGCTCTCGTGGCTCTCTGTGGTCGCTGCCCTTATGTCATTTGCGTACTCTTGCATCGGCCTCGGTCTCTCAATAGCCAAAGTTGCCGGAGGGTCTCATCCTAAGACGAGCTTGACAGGGATGGCAATTGGAGTCGATGTAACGAAATGGCAGAAGATTTGGAGCTGCTTTGAAGCCCTAGGCGACATTGCCTTTGCCTATGCTTTCTCCACTGTCCTCGTGGAAATACAGGCAAGTCTCCTGGTTTCTGTGACCCTTTTACCTTCCAAGAAAAATAGACTTATATTCATTGAATTGCAGGATACACTTAAATCAAGTCCACCGGAAAACGAATCCATGAAAAAGGCAACGGCGCTCGGTGTCTCAATAACCACCTTGTTCTACATTTTGTGCGGAGCTCTGGGTTATGCAGCATTCGGTAACGCTGCTCCGGGCAATTTTCTAACAGGGTTCGGTTTTTACGAACCTTACTGGCTTATCGACTTCGCTAATATGTGCATTATTCTACATCTTGTGGGAGCTTACCAGGTATTTTGCCAACCGATATTTAATAAGGTCGAGGACTGGTGCTTAAACCAATGGCCAAACAACAATTTCATAAAAGAAAGTCGGCCAATTAGGCTCCCACTGTTTGGGGATTATACTTTCAGTACCTTCAGGCTTGTATGGCGAACAGCTTACGTGATCATGACGACCGTGGTGGCCATGGCTCTGCCATTCTTCAACGGCATTCTGGGTCTGCTCGGCGCCTTATCGTTTTGGCCATTGACTGTGTATTTCCCAATCCAAATGTACATATCAAAAGAAAACATTCGACCCTTTTGCTGGAAATGGATATGGTTAAACATCGTGGTCGTGGTTTGCTTGATTATATCGCTTCTAGCTGCGGCTGGCTCCATTGCAGTCATTCTTAAGGATCTCCGTACATATAAGCCTTTCACCTCTGTTTCTTAATGTCAGTACGGTTTCGGAGATTGTTTTTGAGTTGAAACAATTTCAAACCGTGCACTTGTGTGTGTAAATTGGATATCAAGTGGCTGGTTGTGCACCACTCCACATGTGTTGGTCATCGACAAGTTAGTCGGTTCTTCGTAACAATTCCGAATGTGCAAACCACCTATTCCGAATCGAAACACGTTAACAGAAGATGAGTGGCAGAACACAAGGAAACAATGGGTTCGTAGAATTCATCAAGATTTAATATTGCAAACTGATTAACTTGCAAAAACATGCTTACGATTGTAATGTTTACCAGAAATTTTACCGTAGATGGTTAAGCCATACAACTAATGATACATTACATTTATGATAATTAACATTTCTTTTGCATAAATATAGAATATTTTATATAAAATATATATATTTTGAGGATGTCTTTATCATAAGTTAAGATTCTGAGATACTGGTAGAGAGAAATTATTTTAGACATGAATTTTCTTTATATCTGTAAAATATCTTAAATTATTTGTCAAAGTTTAGATATTGCAATAGACATTTTAAAAGTAGAAGTATAATATTAAATATTTTATCAAAGTAAATACACCAAATGTGATATTATTCCTTATTTTATTAGTAATTTTAATTTTGAATTGAGATGATTACAATGTAATATTTTTAAGTTTATTAGAAATATCTTAATGAATGCCCATATTATTATAGATCCATAAAAATTACAGTTTAAATCGATTTAAGACAATATTATTCTATCGAGTTATAGGATCTTAAATTTATAATCTTTCCTTTTTTTTCTTTTATAATAGCATGGAACTCAATTTATTAATTGATTAATTTTGATTTAAATACTATATAAATTTAGTATAAGATGATCTATACAACCTAATTCGTTATATTGTATAATATCAGAATTTGAATCTTGAGTACTGTACAAGAGATACAGTATGTAGTCCTCATAAATTAGAGGATAACGTGCATTGAAATATGTTGGAACATCTTGACCAAGCGATCTCAGTTGTTAAGTGCTTGATTCTTGTTATCTCTGAATGTCCCAGTTTAAACTAGGGATGGACACTCAACCAGAACTCGACAGATTCCGACTAGATCGGGTCGGATTTTTTTTAAAAAAAAATCGGGTTCGGGTGGGTTCGAGTTTTTTTAAGTGTGATATTCGGGTCGGACGAGTTCGGGTTTAGGGTGAAAAATACCCTACCCGGCTAGAAAAAATATATAATTTTAATTTATATATTTAGGAATAATTACAATAATACCCCTCTATACATAATTTTTTTCAATTAAGACACTGTTTTTATTGAATATAAATATTTTTTTTATTATTTCGGATCGGATCGGATTTCTAAATCATATATTCGGGTCGGGTCGGGTCTCGAGTGGAGGCTCCTTTGTTCTCGGGTCGAGTCGGATGGACCAAAAACCCGACCCATGCCCATCCTTAGTTCAAACACCATGTATGTATAGGTACGAGTTTATTATCAAACGATTAAGTATTTGAATAGATACACTATTGTATTTATTCCAGAATTATTAAAAAAAAAGCATACAACCTCTTATATACTACAATGGTAACTATATTAACTGAATTAAGGCTTTGTTACTTTCCTTTCTTTTCCATAAATGAAGAAAAGAAATGAAGTTCAAATTTCGAAATACTTTTGGTGTATTATGGTGGGCCTAACTTTGCAACAAGGAAAAGTTCATACATATATATACAGCTCTATTGATGATTTGAATTCAAAGAAATGGATACGCCATTAACGAAGGCTAAGCAGTTCATCAATTTTCACTGCCATAGTAAGTCAACTACTTCCTCGATAACCTCATCCATGATTGCATCTCCTAACTCAGACCCTATCTTTCTCTGCAATTTACAGTACTGCCATTCTTCAAATGCGTATGAACAACCCATACTTGACAAGTCGCTGGTCTGGTTTCCCAGGGTTTTCAGACAAAAGAACCACTGAATGTAGTTGTACTTGTTTCCGACATTCGTTCCACCGTTGTTTTTCGTTAATTTCTTTGCTGAAAGGTTCATTAGAGGCTTCTTTTGATTCCCAAGACTTTGGTTTCTTCGGCAATATCGGAGACTGCGAGGTTCGTTTATTATGGTCCCCTTTGCTTCATTGAAACCGGTGAGAGTGTACCTTTCCAGTAGTGATTTTCCAAGTAATTTCCAGGGAAAAGTTGCCAACACAAAATTGCCTTTGATATTTTCGGCCATATCAATGGAGTTCCTATTTGATGCACTTCCTTGTCTTGTTATGATGTGATGCACTGCACCAGAGAAACACATTTGATTAACATTAAGAAGAAAAGAAAAGGAACTGAAAAAAAAAGAATCTTGACCTTTCTCGGATGATAATTCATCTAACAAAAGGTCATCTTGAATGCATTTCCTTCGACTGGTTTCATTTGTAAGAATCTGAAAGCAAAGTTCAATATTCCAAGTGAATAACACTGTAAAAATCTGAAAAAATTGCTAAAAATGTAGATGATTTTATGTACCTTTTCTGGTTCCATGTTACCAAACGGTGTTATTTCTGCAATCTGAAACTCATCTTCATCGCCTTCATTATCACCGCAACAGGAAATATCTAAGCTATCATCACTACCAGGAACAAATTTACACAGTATCGACTTAACGACCCTGGTGGAAATCAAAGCCATTTTCTTGAACATATTCATTTGAGTGCTGCAGCAACCGTTTCGACCATTAGAACTCACGCATTTAACCAAGTACCCTCTCTCCGCAAGGTATATGTTCAAAACGAAAGGCTCTTGTTGCACTTGGAGATGTTCTTTGAGCTGTTTTGATGGAGGAGGAGCCATTGGAGTATATCCAAAGTTCAGCTGCAGGGAAATTTCAGAGAAATTAATGCTTGGAACAGACAAGGAATGTGTCACTGTTACAAAGGAGTTTTTGGAAATAGATAGGGAGAAATTAGAAGAAGAAGAATATGGAAAAAGGTGGTATTTGGTAGAGTGAAAGGCAAGCAAATAGGCGCCATGGCAATCATTTTATGGTATTGGGGACAACTGGAAACTTTTAAACAATGCAATCTTCTTACTGATTTATGACCCCTACAATTCTAAAAGCTTCTGAATATAATATTATATAAGTAAAGGTTTGCTATTTATTTATAATCCACTTTCTTTTGCCCTTGGATTTAACATATTTTATAGGCTTAATAAGGTAATATATATATATATATTTTGAAGGTTGTGATAAATTTATAAATTCAAAAATTTTAATATATTATATATATATATATATATATATAAATTTGAGTAGATACAAGTAGGAATAACAACAAACTTCTTAATCGTTTAGTACAAATTTTAATATTTGTAAAATGAGTATATAAATTTTTTATTTATTTTTCACCTATAATGCATTGATAATATATAATTATATATGTTGTTAGTGAATCTGATTATACCATATTTTTTTTATAGAATTCGTTAATTTTATTAAAAATAGGAAATATTCAAAATTATAATAAAAGCTTATAACAATAACCGTAAACTAAACACATAACTAGGACATTTTCCTATAACCATTGACACAAGAAACTAGCCACTTAATATTACACAAGAACCAGATAAGGAAAATTTAAAAAAACCTAACCAAAAATACTCAAACAAAAGATAAATACAAACATATTTGACCACATCGAAAAATAAATCTAAAAAGAGATCAAATAATTGAAAGATCACTGATGAACTACAAATCAGAGTCGAGCAACATAAGAAAACTATCCACGAAGATAAATCGCATATCCGAATCCGATTCGAATGTCCAAAGTATAAATCAACATGATAATAAATAAAAGTCATCTTAATCAGTCGAGTTGATATTAAATCGATCCTAAAAAAATAAATAAAAATAACGATTAATCGATAAAAAATAATAGCAAAATTTATACAATATCAATGTAACAAATGTAAACAGCATAATATAATAAAATACGAGCAATATTGTGTGTATTAAGCAAGACAAAACCATTAGATCAATCTTGTGTGTATTTTTCTATAAATATGTTTGGCTTGTTTTAATTAATAGAAATTATAATCATACGGCATGTGGGTAGGTCCCATCAGAAGAATAAAACTTGTTTCTTTAAGCAAAGTAGGTGCGAGGCATTAGGGGAGGCAAATTTGGAATGAAATTCAATGTTCCATCACAAATATTCTTATTGCATTCAGCAAGAAGCTGCCAAGGATATTTCTCCTGCACATATATATATTGTGTATATAGTGTAGTTCATTGTATGTATATGATTTACGATCAACAACTAAGATTATTGAACCCATTAAATGATTTTAATGATTAAAGAGAGCGTTGTACTCATTAAAGGATCTTAAGTTCGAACAATTACATCTATAAAATGTGTATATGTTGTCAGTAACTAATAAAAATTCTAAATAGTTGATACTATACTTTTAGTCATCTCAGACTAATAATTTTTTTAAAAAAAAGACGATTTCATATACATTTGACAAAGAGAATATATAAAACCGGACACACTAAAGGGCCTCGCTACAAAAAATACAATTATGATTTCCTGATTATCTTAATACCATTCCCTCTAATAGAATGGGTGATTACAATAATTAATAAATATATATAGAGAGAGAGTTATGACAATTCTTATTTCTAGAATTGGTGATTACAATAATATATATATATATATATATATATATATATATAGTAGAGAGAGAGTTATGATAATTCTTATTTCTAGTTATGAATTTGGTAATAAAATGTTTATTTTTTATGTTTAAGGGGTTGAGTTTTAGAGTGAGACACTGATATACATCACTAATGATGTGCATCAATATGCACCTCTAATACAAAAATATGATAAAATTCATACATGGTCGTTAAATTTATTAAAATAATTTCATTTGTCATTGAATTTTTAAAAGTTATAAAATATACATTAAAACTTTAAATTTTATTAAAAAATATATAGCGACAGTGAAATATTGTTAAGGGTGTGACGTGCCATGTTAAATTAATAGGAAATATCTTATTTAGCCCTTCAATTATTTTCCTTTTTGATATTTTTAAATATTTTTAAGTAATAATTTCAGAGAAAAATTAAAAATTTAGGATTTTTTAAAACAATATATGAAAACAATTTATTTTTAAGATTAAAAATTATAATTTAAAAAAAATAACGCATCAGATTATTTTATAACTAATTATTTATTAATAATGATTGTATTTGTAAAATTTATAATTTATAATTTTCGAGATCCAAAAAATTGAATTATCCAACAATGTAATTATTTTTTATTAAAGGAAGTGTTTCAAGCACTTGAGTTTAGAAGTTTAAACACGATTTTAAAAAAATACATTCAGAAAATTATAGTATCACTGTAATTGAAGGGCAAGTTCTGGTTTCAACTTGAACTTCTTTAAGAAATATTGGTCTGATCTTAAGGAGTCCATCCTTCAGTTTTTTGAGGATTTTCATAAAAGGGGAAAGCTTGATGAGTCCTTGAACCATTCGTTTATCACCTTAATACCCAAGAAAATAAACACCTCCTCTTTGAATGATTACATACCAATAAGCCTGGTGAGTGGTATATATAAGCTATTAAGTAAGGTGCTGGCAAATAGGTTAAGGCACTGCCTGGACTCATTAGTGAGTAATACGCAGTTCGTATTCATTCCGGGTCGTCAAATATTAGATTGTGTTTTGATAGCAAATGAAGTGATAGACTCGATGGTTAAAAATAGAACCAGTGGAATAGTTTTCAAGATCGACTTCAATAAAGCCTATGATTCGGTAAATTGGAATTTTTTTGATCCGGATATTAAAGGAGATGGGTTTTGGAGATCGGTGGTGCAAATGGATGCTCAATTGTATCTCCTCTGCTTCTATCTCAATCTTAGTAAACGGAGTTCCCACGGATCGTTTCAATTTATCTAAAGGGTTAAGGCAGGGGTGTCCTTTATCCCCATTATTATTTAATTTACTGGGGGAATCACTGCATCAAATGATTAAAAAGGCAGTTGTGCAAGGTCTCTTTGAAGGCTGTTTTGTAGGGAAAGGCGATAATAATTTAGAGATCTCCCATCTACAATATGCGGACGATCTAATTATTTTTTGCGGGGCTGTCGTGTCTCAAGTTTTAAGTGTAAAAAGAGTTTTAAGAGTGTTTGAACTCGCCTCAGGACTTCAGCTTAATCTGAAGAAGAGTAGGATATTTGGTATTAATATTGAAGAAGTCAAGATTCAGAGCTGGTCGTCTCGCATTGGGTGCTACATTGGAGTTTTTCCAACAGAATATTTAGGCCTCCCTCTTGGTGCCAAACGGAACTTTCTTTGGGAGCCGGTTATATAAAAAATTACCAACAAATTGGCTGGTTGGAAGTCCACTTCTCTTTCTTTTGGTGGTAGGATCACCTTAATCAGGTTAGTTCTTACAAGCTTGTCGATCGGTATACTTTTTGTCACTATTTAAAAAGCCTATGAAGGTATATCATAAGATTAACAATATCCTGCCAAGGTTCTTGTGGGGTGGTTCTATGGACAGAAGAAAAATTCATTGGATTAGTTGGTTTGATGTGTGTTCTCCTTTCTCAAATGGTGGCTTGGGGATTGTGGATATCGAAGCCAAAAATCATGGCCTTCTTGGTAAATGGTGCTGGAGGTTTGGCAATGAATCAAATAGTTTATGGAGACGAGTGATCAGCTGCAAATATAAGTACGATCAATCTATCATTCTACCTCCTTGTTTTCAGGCGCGAGGTGTGTCGTGGATTTGGCTTGGAATTTTAAAGGTATTTATTGGAGATGGCGGAGAGAGTATTTGAAGAAAAATCTACGAGCTCAGGTGGGGGATGGTAGGGCTGTTCGATTTTGGTTGGACGAGTGGTTTAAGGATCGCCCCCTTAAGGATATATATCCAAGAATATTTGCAATATCATTGAATAAACAGTTGAACGGTATCCGATTAAATTATTTCTTACCATCCATGATGTATTGGCCAATGGCATTTTGGTAAGTAATGTGAATCTTAGCTGCCATGCACAGGTTAATCATTATGTCTGGTCCAAAACATTAACTGAGATGAAGTAGGGGGTAAGAAATGGAGCCACATATATATGTGTGTGTGTTTGTACACGTTAGATACAACATTCATTATCTAACGTTATGAATGATATTTAATCATTATTTTCTTTCATAATGGAAAATTCATCATTTTCAATCCACAAATAAAATTTTAGATGATTCTCGAGATATAAGAAAACGTTTATACCTATATAATTATTATAAAAAAAGATTTATAATTTGAATATTATATTCAAATATACGAAACACAAATACCCATTATAATAGACAAGAACATATACCACATATCTAAATATAGTTTTATATACAATAATAATGAATTAATATCAATGTTTGCATGAACAATTTTAATATGTTCAACTGCAATTTGTAAGAGAGATGTTGCCATATGCAAGCTTAGATATATTCTTACTTTTATCTTTAATTTTACTTACGAAAAAAAGATTGGCCTACAATCCTTTTATTTTAAAAAAAAATATTATTACGTGTTCCAACTTTTTTATGTAATAACTTTATGCTTTAATCATTACAACTTCGGGTGGGAACAAATTAATAAGGATGGTGTATGCCATAGGTCATTATAATTTTGCATTACAAGGTTGTTCCTCGAGTTTAATGCTCCTTATTATTTCATTTCTCTAAATATAATGTTTATCATTGATTTCGCCAGATCTACAAAATATCATCCGAATTAAGATTCGATCAATATAAAATTTTATAATTGTAAAATTTAGGATAAAGTACACAAATAGTCCCCAACTATAAGATGATATTTTGTTGAGTCATTCGACTATTAAAAGTTACAAAATGATTACCCGACTATTTAGTATGTTCTAAACTCGTCTTTTTTCTGTTAAAAATTGATGGTAGTATGAGCTTGAAGTTAACTTGTTGATTGAGATATGATAAGATCTGATCTCATAATCTCAAAAAATTATCATATCTTAGTCAACAGATTAACATCTAACTCATATTATTGTCAAATTTTTAATAGAAAATGACGAGTTTGAAACATACTAAATAGTTGCTGACTATTTTATAATTTTTAGTAGTCGGGAACTTAACAAAACAACACTCTATAATCATGGGACTATTTTGTAACTTTTAATAGTCGATGGACTCAAACAAACTTCACCCTATAATCGGAGAACTATTTATGTACTTTACCCTAAAATCTTAATGTTAGAATTTTTTGTAATAACTTTAAACGTCTTTATATATTAATTTCATAAACAAGTGAGAAGTGTTTTAGTTATATTTAATATTTACAACTTAAACCAAGGATTAATGAAGATGTCTATCTATATAGATAGTCAACTTCTAATCTTAAAATCTTTTAGGGTTTAGTGCTAATCAATCTAAAATACAATAATTAGGTGTTATAATCACACGTGTAATGATAAGTAAGCAAGGGTAGATGTAACCTAATATAAGATTAAGAAAAGATGCTACCGAAAATATTAATATTTTTTTAATATTTAAGGTAGAGCATTACCTAAAATGTTATTTTTTTCTACCGAAAACATTAATATCAGGCGCTGCCTAAAATGTTATTTTTTCTACCGAAAATATTAATATTAAAAATATTCATTTTAGGTAACGAAATTAATATTTCCGATAGAAAAAATAGAATTTTAGGTAGTACTCTACCAAAAATATTAAAAAAATATTAACATTCCAAATAACGTCTTTCTTTAATCTTATATTAGAGTATCATACAACATAACTACCCGTTATAATCACATACTTGCCGTACTGATATTTACGCGTCGACAATACCAAAGCATGCACGTTAAAGCCATCATGTATGATAGAGTCCTAGGCAATGGGGTTGATATGCCCTAGAGGTTCTAGTCTCTTTTAATAAGCGTCCTTACTCCTAAAAGAAATAAAACATGTATCTCTATAATTGTTTATTTTTTTATTGGGTGATTACTATATTAGTTATCTTTTAACAAATTAAAAAAAATTTGTAAGAGAAAAAAATAATCATAACAAAATTGATGTAAAATAAGACACATGTAAAAGATAAGATTATTAATGTGGTTCATTCTTTTTCATCTCCACATAGGTGAGAAATAATAATCAATTATAACTGTAGTGATCGTAAATAATATAAATTCATGATATCCCGTGAATACTAAAACTCAATATATGTACTCAAACTTCATCATAAAATACTTTCTCAACATCCTTATAAAACTCATCTCAGCAACATAAACTCTAAAAATGGTAGACTAAAAAAGGATTGAGTCTCTCTAAAATAATTCTCTCATAATTTTAAATGTTAAGATATACTCTTTATTTATAGAACCAAATACTTGATCATCAAGAATCCTTATTTCATATAAATTCATACCTAAATAAATTTAATCAAGTAAACTTCAACCACTAGAATTACAACAAAATTCAACTTAATTACTAATCAGAATTTGAGTCAATATCTAACAATCTCCCCATTGATATAAATTTCATTAGATAATTTATCTTCAAATATCTAACAACTTCAATTCTTATGTAAATCATATATCCCTAGAAGATCCACAGTCAATCATTCGACAACTCCAAACTTTATGTAATGTTCTTTAATGTATGGATCAATTGAAAATTTAACAATATCTTTAAACCCGACACCACAACCAAATGCTTTGTGACCTAACAATCTTCGAAAATCTAGAATACGTGTATCTATCTATATACTCTTTGATTCTTTAAGCTTGACAAATTTTTGCTTGATTTGAGGGAAGATTCCTATCCACAAATTTAGTTCTGATGATAAATATCAATAAAATCTCTTGTAAATGTTTTCCACCCCTCCCACACAGCCCAGGTTTGTTTTCTGTTGTTCTGAATTTTGAATTTAGATAACTATTAGTTGTTTTGAAGTACATTTTTGACAACTAATTGTTCTTTATACCATACATGTATATCATTGGGTTGTTTTTAGGAGACTTTCTATTGATCGAATTTTAAAAAGGTAATCTCAGACTTTCTTTTTCTACCAAACTTTTAATGTGTTTTCTTTTCTTTTTTGCTCTAATGATTTTTATTTATTCAAGTTTTCTTGATACGCGTTAGATTACATTTTATTATCTTAACCTTCTGAAAATGGCTCGAGTTTAAGTAGTTATATAATGATTTAAGATGCAGGTTTGCAAGTGGACAAGTGGGTGGTAAGAATTGGTGAAAGGAGCGGCGATTTTGGACGACGATGTAAGAGGTAGGTCGGTGTAAGTGTGACGGTGGTCGTATGGTGGAGTAAAAGTAAGTGAGGTGTTGGCATCAGCACATGCAAGTTACTGAGAAATTGATGTCAGAGATTATGTCGACGGCAACTAGAGTTTCGGAACATTAGCCTGCTTCTATTTGATGTCTAGAACATGTCTAAAACGAGTCTGCCAGATTACAGGCCCAACAATGACTCCCTTTTTATATTTAAGTTTAAAATCAAATAATTTTGAATCAAATGATGTTAGTAGTTAAAAAAATTATTATCCTTTAAAGTTTTAAGTTCCAATATGATTATTAAAAATTAAAAAATATAAATATATATTATAGGCGTAACTATTTAAATCTTACAATTCTAAAAATAATTATACAGTTTGATTAATGACGCACGGATGAGAATATTCAATACCGTTTAATTTAGATATCACCCCTCCCTCCTTAAATCTTTTACATTTTGCCCTCGAATCATGGCAATCTCTATAAATTGAACCCCCACCTGCAGAATCATTTCCTCTCAACCCCCTTTCTTCTTTATTTGCCGAATCTCTCCCCTCTCAAAAGGAAAAAAAAAGGCACAGAAAATGTGTTCAAAGGTGAGTCTGGTTTGCATGATCATCGTGTTCCTCCTCTTCTTCATATTACATTCTCCAGCTGCTGCTCGCCCAGAGCCTGCATCTACAGTTCAATATGCCGATACTCCCTTCAAACCTCAACATCTGGTATGTATATTATGACCATTGGATTCGCTTTAAAACTTAATACTTTTCTCCTTATCATGATTTATAAACCTAGGTAATTATGGTCTTCTTTTGATTGAAAATGTTATTTCAGGGTGAAGAAAAAGATGATAAGGTTCAAGAGTTGGAGGATAGCTGCGAGGGAATTGTAGAAGAAGAATGCTTGATGAGAAAAACACTTGCAGCCCACATTGATTACATCTATACCCAGAAAACCAACCCTTGACCTGTCTTCATATCTTATCATTTATATACAATTTTCTGCTAATGTATTTATAGTTTTAATTCATAAATTTCTGTCTTACTTTGTATCATCTTCTTTTTATCAAGAATGGGTACATTTTTATCTTCAGATTCATCAAAAGTTTTGGTGGATATATATATATAGTGTTTGATTCTTCTATTCATGCAAGGGAGGATTTCTGGTTATAAAACCAGTAGCGTAACATATATGTAGTGTTTTATTTACCTTTTAACGCGATAAAGATGATTATTTTTCATTTGATTCTTCTGTCGGTTTTATGAAAATTCCAAATTACAACTTATCAATATAAAGTTAAAAAATTACAGAAGTTAACTGTAACCAAAATTATTATTAAGAGTATAATTTTTTAGGTTAAATAAAGTAATATTTTAGGTTAAAATTGAAAAATGTTATAACTTTTTGTGTTATTTTCGATTGTATATCTTAAACTCGTCCAATATAATTTTTTAATTATAATTAAAAATATTATAACTTTTTATAAATTTTTGAATTGAACTTTAAATTAATCTTAATTTAAATTATGGAACAACAGAACTACACTAATTTTGGAGTTGAAGATTTTTGAAAACCCTTTGTCTGGTTTACGGTGTGTGTTAGTAAACTAAAAGCCTACTTTTCTATTAAAAAAAAATAAAAAGAAGGGAATGTAAAAGGACAGAGGAGCGCGTATTAATGGTGATTTTTAATTGCCTGAAAAGATAAGTCATGTCAACTTATCTGGCATAATTAAGGCCACATGAATTAACAATAAAGAAATAGGTTTACCTCTATATCCCATTTTGATTTTTAATTAATATGGGTATACTATTATTTTTGACTTATTGACCGAAAAATTAGTTGATTTTTTTTATTTATGTGTTAGACATCGTTAAAAAATATTATAAATTTAGTATTTTTATAGAAAGGTATAGATTTGTGCCTTATGTTGATATGACATTACATGGGATAAGACATGAATGATAGTGTGTGTTTTTTTTTAAGACGTGTGTTAGTTTCGTAAATTTTTTAAAATAATGTCTAATATGTAATTAATTTTTATTAGAGTAATTTTTGTGTAAAAATATCAACTTTAGTTTTTTTGGCAAATATTCTTTTACATTAAAATCTTTAAATCTTTTTTTAAAAATTATTTTATAACTCGAATTTTTTTATTTTCACATGAAATTACACAATACGCATAATCTAGTATAGGAAAACTTTGAGAGTAAATAATTTAAAATATGAATAATTTTATAAAATTTTTATAACTAGTATTTCTTTTACAAAATGATGATGATTGTGATAAGAAATATTTTATAATTTAAAAAAATATAAATTTCATATATTTTAAAAAATTAATGATTTTTAAAATTAATTTTTTAAAAATATATAAAAAATATAAAAATAAAATTTTAATTACAATTGAGGGATCAAATGAATTATTATTCATTAATTATTATTTTTAACAACATTTAATAATGTTTATTCATTTTTAATAAAATTAAAATTAAATTTTTTTTTATATTTTTTAAAATTAATATTAGAAATAATATTTTAAATATATAGATAATAGTTTTTAGCTTTACCTTCTTTTTTTAGTGAATTTGATTCACTTCTAATTATTATTTTTTTATTTTTATTGAATTTTAAATATATGAGTTATAATTCAAATTAATCATTTATTATGTTATTATTCAAATTAATTTAGAAAAATTATAGTAAAATGTTTCTAAAAGAAAAATATAAATGCTTACATGAAAATCTAAAGATTTTCCTTTCTTTTGTGTTACTCTCTAACATGTAACAAAATTCAATAAAAAAGAAGAAGGTAAAGCTAAAAAATATTACCTATATATTTAAAATATTCTTTTTAATATTAATTGGTACGGTACAGGGTTGATTTTGTAATTATGTACCAGGGTTTTCTATTAATGTAACCTAGACCTAAAATATCATTGAATAAAATTCTAACGCCGCCTAGGCACCGAGGACGTAAGCACATTGCCGAACCTCGTAAAATTCTCGTGTTCTTTCGTTTTCTTTACCCGTTTTCGTCAACAAAAATAATAATTAATGAATAATAATTCATTTGATCATTCGATTGTAATTAAAAATTTATTTTAATATTTTTTTTATATTTTTAAACAATTAATTTTAAAAGTCGATAAAATTTTCAAAAATATATGAAATTTATAATTTTTCAAATTATAAAATATTTCTTATTATTGTCGTCATCATCATCATTTTGTAAAAGAAATATTAGTTATAAAACTTTTATAAAATTATTCATATTTTAAATTATTTACCCTCAAAGATTTCATATACTATATTATATGTATTGTGTAATTTTATACAAAAATCAAAATTTATCGAGTTTATAAAATAATTTGTAAAAAAAGATTTAAAGATTTTAGTTTTTTTAAAAAATAAAATTGATGTTTTTACACAAAAAACACCCTAACATATATTAATTACATATTAGGCATTATTTTAAAAAAATTATAAAACTAGCACCCATCACAGAAAGCGCGCCTTACCTCACGTAACGTCATATCAGCGTAAGACGTGGATTATAATCCGTTCTTTTCTGTGAAGGGTGTTAGATCTATAATATTTTCTTTAACGACATTTGACACGTAAATAAAAAAATTAGTAATTTTTCGGTAAATACGTCATTGTTTTTGTATTTTCAGATATTTTTATAAAATACAATAAAAAAATCACGTATCCAATGATTGAACAATTGTTTAATAAGATATAGGTATAAACTCAATATTATATGATTGAACATTTGTTTATTAAAGATTTAGATATAAACTCATTTTCATTCTGCAATGAATCTAGATTTGGCGCTGAACCATTGCCCGGTATGATGAAGGCTTCATAGCTGCTGTGATTTTCATCATAATTTTTATCAGCACGTGAGAAGGCTCGATAGGGGTAGTTTTACTATACGACAGTATAATTTAAAGTTAAAAAAATGAAAAAATGGACATAATCGCAAATATGATAAAAATGTAACATTTTAGTATGAGTGTAACTTAAAATATTAATCTTTTTATCATTGTTTATTATCAACCGAAAATGTTATAAAAAATATAACATTTTCAGTTCAATAAAAAACACTTTTGAGGATAACTACATGCAAAACATGATAAATTTCACTAATATTGAAAACAAAAGAATACAAAAGGAATTCTCCTAAACCACTTGATAGCTAACCTTAATCATTAATATCTATTTATATGAATAGCTATTTGATTATAAAGGAAACATGCATATAATAAATACATTTAAACTATGTTTCCTACTCTCAATCCACATAAAATAAAATAGACTAATTACTTTCGATCGAATTAAATTTTTTATTTTCTCCCATTAATTAGAATCAAATCAATTTTATATCAAAATCTAACACGGTTGGAAAACACCCATTAAAAACCCAAAATGAATCATTAAGCGTCCCATTATTACATAAAATGTGATAGTATGAGAATAGATAAAGGCAGCCATACAAAGTACAAACCCTCATCGTGAACGTGGGAATGACCCACTATACAAAAACAGAGAGCAGTTTTTACAAGATTTTGTTGGTCCACAATGGCATCTTCAAGGGCTCCACGAGAACAAAGACTACACCACGTATATAATTTATCATATATACATATGACTAACCTATATGTGAACTTATGGCGGACCGTTGTTATTGATGTTTTATTGACCAAAATAATAAATGCAGTTGATGTATCGATGTTACGGGGGAAATGTTCATTTATGTATACCCATTCAACCACCCAGTCCTAGCATGTTTCATGGCTCTCTATTATCTCAATATCTTTGGGTTGGAATTTGAAAATGAAGGCACATACGTATATGACATCAATGAGCGGGCAGTGCCGTGCAACTGAAACCATGGCCTCAAATGTTCCAATGTGTTGATTCTATCCATCTGCTCAATTGGCACATTCAATTAATTTTGAATTAAGACATAACATGAAATTTGCATGCTTTGAGAAAATACCATATCTAAGTATGAGGACACTAATATGTTTCGGTTTATGAATTGACGATACCGGCGCACGATTCTCAATAACATCTTTGGAATGGTATAAACTCTTATGAGACTGTAAGGATTGTTTAACGTGATCGGACACAAGATTTTGTATTAGATGACCAAATCATAAAATTTTAATGATAAATATATTTATTAAATTTTAACATAAGTATATTTATAAAATTTGAGAGGAATGAAAATAGATTTTTAATAAAAAATATCTAAAGTATATAAAATTTTAAAACTCCACCCCTCATTCCATTCATGACTGTTCATATTAACCCAAATCATGCATATGTACAACATGTTAAAACAATAAAAAGAGAAAACCGTTTTATTCATGGTTTGTTAAAAATTAAAATTAAATATTAATTTTAAAATAAATTATGCTTAACATAGGTTTATATTAGAATATAATATAATTTAAATATAGACAATAAATGTACTCTCTGTCAAAATTCTGTAACCTTATTAACGGAAAGGAAATTGTTGGCCTTCTAAACTCTTATTTTCTTTTGGGTTTTGGGCCTTCAAAATTCTGTAACCAATGGCCCGTACAACCCGCATATGGCGCCAAGCATTTCCCGCCAGTATATCTTCTTCTCTTCAATCATTCAAACCCTTAATCCACAAAGACAACGCAAAGGACCCAAACCGAGTTTTTTTTATTCTTTCACAAACAAAAAATCCACAGAGAAATGGTGAAAGCGAAGCAGTATTGACTGCTGAAAACAGAACCAGGAGAGTGGTCATGGGAAGACCAGGCAGCAAACGGAGGTGTAACCAAATGGGACGGTGTAAAGAACAAGCAAGCCCAGAAACACCTCAAGTCCATGAAGGTGGGCGATCTCTGTTTCTTCTACCACTCGGGCGCTACCGCTCGCCGTGTGGTGGGGGTGGTCAGCGTCGTAAAGAAATGGTACGCCGAGGACAGTGATCTAAACAGTGAGGCATTGGTGGATGTAAAAGCTGTTGGGGAGATGAGGAGGCAAGTGGACTTAAAGGACATGAAACAGGATGGGGAATTGAAAGGGTTTATCATGTTTAGACAGCAGAGGTTGTCGGTCTTGCCGGTGGCGGAGAAGGTATGGGAGAGGATTTGTGAATTGGAAAATGGGTTCGAAGGGGATGGCTTTGACATTGGGAAGGATGGTGGAGATGATGCAGGGGTTTAAAAAAAACAAGAATCAGTGTTGGTTTTTGTGATTTGTATAACGTTAAAGTACAAAAAAAATGTGTTTAATCAGTGTTTAGCTACTATATTTTATTCGTTGGTGATGGGATTAAGAAAGGGGATTGATGTTTTCTATTTTCTTCGTCTACTAACTTGATTGTGGCATTTTAGTGAACACCTACCGAGCATTGCCTTCGTGTTAGAGGTCAAAATAGACCATAAAATATGAAAAAAATATGTTTAGCAACATAATAAAATAAACCTGATTTTGTTGATACCAATTTAGTGAATTCCCCGAGAAGGTTTGAACCTCTCAAGCTTTTCCCCATTAACGAGAAGCATTGTCACGTAGTGGCTGATCCACACTTGTCAGAGTAGACAGCTGTGATTTTAAAATTCGGTTTTCCTTTGAATTTATTGAATATGTTCACAAGACTTTAAAATTGGAACAAGGCCAAGTCGAGCTAGACTAGATGAGGCATTGGGCTACACGCCACACAAACGGTCTTAGGCGGATTTGGGCTCCTTTTACTGGGTTGAAGAAGTAAAATGGTTGGGTTGTGAACTTAACAGAACTTGAATGAATTGAGATTATTGCTTCTTCTTTTTTAACCAGATTTGAGCCAGCTCGAATGCATTTAGCAATAACAAGGATCATTCTAATTTAAGTTAAACCTTTCATAAACAGCTATAAGAATGCGTACGATGATTTTGGTCCAAACATGTTCAATTCCAAGGATACTTGTCGACCATTAATATATAGAACAATTGTTTCACACTTGTAATTCAGTTGGAATCTTGAACGACAAGGAATTAAAAGGATTGACTTCTTTTGTGAATTAACCAATAAATATCCAACATGAATATCTGCTTTCTCCTCTTAAAATAATATACCTTTCCATCGATTTCAAATTCATCGGCTTCAACTGGACTGGTTATAATAATAATAATAATAACAGTAACAAATATGGTAAAAAAATATTCATAATCCGTGGCACATTGATGAATTTATTAATATGAACTTAGGAAACAGAATTGTGGGCCGAGAATAGTCAATGAAATTACTATGCCTTGCTACAGAAGTTGAGCATTGGCATTGAAGTCAATGTTTGAGCTTTTCATTCACCCTACGTGTGGATCTCAGTTTTTCAGTTGTTAACGTCGAGCCTTCACAGTTCAAACAAAAATAAGGAGAAGCCGTGTGATTAATTAATTCTTTTTCTATAAATAACAAAATTATTAATTATCAAGGGCTCATTCTTTTGACTTTTGAGAAAGATTTTCTTTTTATCCGTCAACTCATCATACAATCATATGAAATCTCAGCAACCATAAAGGATTCAAGTAATGTGACACAAGTTTATGGTTGTTTGAGTCTTTACGTCTGCATGCGAAACTGTTTTTCTATAATTACTACGCACAGTGATAAATCAATGAATGGTTAGGAGTAGTTCTTCTCTTCTAAATATCAAATTATTTATTTTTTGATTTTTTTATTAATAGTTTACTTTTATTAGTTTAACTTTTATATATCTGTTATTTTTAGATATTATAGGTTCATCTTTCTCACATAAAATTTCATAATCGCCTCTAATTACGTATGTTGTATATTTATACTAATTTTATAATTCTTGATACCACCTTCGCCAATAAAAATGTTTTCGGTTCTATGAATTATATATAATTTTGACTAAAACATATCATGAATGTCATCTAAAGGAGGAGATACAATTATTTACATAAATAGTAAAGTTACGTATACCGACACAATTCGCTAATCGGATGATGAAAGATACACAGCCTGCTGCCGCTGCACAGGGTAAACATATATCACTCTTCTAGTTAAATTTAGCGAATGTCCTCGTACTTTATTTCTCAATCCAAATGGTGGGAAGGTTGTTTCTAGTGACAATGAGAACATATTTCGAGATAGAGCAATATGGAGGTGGATAACATAGATCAGGGTTTAAGAAGGTAGAAAATTTTGAGTTAATTTTATGGTCTTTGAAATATATTTTCGAGAATCTAATCAAATGAATTGAACAAGGAAATTAATTTGGTTTTTATAATGAATTTGGGGTTTATTGGCTACTTTATACAAAGATCGACGGTGATTAATGTGATCATGGCACATGACCTTAATGTTGTAATCAATCAATTGAGTGATTTAATTATTATAATTAATTAATTGAGTGACTTGATTATAACTCTGTAAAATCTAATCTTTTTAATGAATGCATCACTTCAAAAAGACGTACGATATTCAATGATCCAACGATTTATTTGTAACAATCAATTACTTAAGTAACTTGTGTACGACTTTTTAAAATGGAATGACCCACTTATAATCTAACTAACAATCGAGTGAATTGTGGTATGATTATCCAAAAGGTTAGTCAGAAACGACGACGGAATGGCAAACTGGTAATTATATTCATCAACAAGCCCATTTATCTACAAAGACCAGCATAAAAACCACCAACTCTTCAAATAATCAGAAGCTTAGGGGGGTGGGAAAGGAAAAAAGAGAGAGGAAGCAAATTATCAAACGCAGTAGGACTCTCAACCAAAAGCAAATATGCAGAAACTGTAACAAAATCTTCATTTGTTTTTGAGCTTTATCCTCATTTTTGAGTTGATCGAAAATGGCGAACCAGTTGGAGAGCTTGGTGGAATCAATAAAGTCAAAGGTAAGGGCTCTAAAGAAGTCAAAGAATAATAATAAGCCCTACATAAAGATGGATAAGAGCTCCAGCGTTAAGGTCGAGATCCGTAGCAGGAAAGCCAGGAGGCTCATCGACAAGACCTTGAAGGCCGCCGATCGCCCCGGAAAACGTACCCTTTCATGACCACCACGACGTCGTTCCGTTTTCCCACCATATTGCTCGCAAACTGTTAGCTTATACAGATTCGGTGTGCGTTTGGGGACGTTACGAAAGGTAACGTGGGAACCGTTTCGGATTGGCAGACAAGAAATATCCAATTACTTTTTTCTTTCTCGCTTGTATACTTCGATGTTAATAATAATTAATTGAAAGGTTAATCGGTGGTAAATGTTATTGTTTATGTTATTAATTGATTATGTTACTCTTTTCGTTTTACATGTTATTTCTTGAAAGTTCATTTTACATATTAATTTTTGGGTAAAATATACAAATGATCATCGATTATAAGATGTTTCATTAAATTCTTTAACTATTAAAAATTACAAAACGATTTATTGAGTATAGAATATTATTTTGTTGAGTCTCTTGACTATAAAAGTTACAAAATGATCATTTGACAATTTATATATTATAAACTCATCATTTTCCATTACAAATTATGACCTTTTAAGTTATACGTTAATTTGTTGTCTGAAATATGATAAAATCTTATTCTATAATCATTTGAGGTGTATTTATTGGATTGATTTTCTGTTTACATTATACCATGAACTAATGTTTGAAATATTATGTCATTGAGCCAATGGTTAAAAGTAATGAAAATGTCAATAAACATCGTTAAAATCAATTTTATTATATCCTAATCAGTAGGGTAGTACAACTCAAATGACCATCAATTTCTAACAAAAAAAATGACGAGTTTTTAATATATTAATAGTCGAGTAACCATTTAGTAACTTTTAATAGTATGAAACTTAACAAAACAATAATTTATAGTCGATGAATTATTTTGTAACTTTTAATCTCAACAAAATAACGTCCTATAATTGATTGACCATTTGTATACTTTACTCTTTTTCAATAGTACGAGAATATTATAAAATAATAACTGTTCAAAACTTTTTTATTTTATTCATAACTTACATACGTAAATGTTCAAATTTAAAATTTTTATAAAATAAATATTTTTTTTACCATGAAGACCAGTTTATATGTACCTGTTATGTATTAATTATTAATATTATGTTGTATTTATGTTATATATTAATTAATTTAGTGTAGCGTCAAACTCGAGATTTGTCTGCACTAATTAGAAGAGTAAAGAAAAAAATTAGGATCAAATAGTGAGAAAATAAATTATTTAAGTTTAAAATAATGATTTATTAAGTACTTAATAATAATGTTGTGACAATGTTGTCGTTGGTGGCCGTTGTCGTGATTTTAGTTTAATTACAATTTTGTTTAAACTATAAAGATCAAATAAAAAAAAAAGAAAAATAGAAGTATAAAAACAGTTATATGTATCAAAGGTTAAATAACTTTTAGTATGATTTATATAGAAATCATATTATTAAAAATAGAATTATTAAAAATAGAATGGAATATTGAATAACGAGTAAATAATAATAATAAAATAGTCTATCAAGCACAAGTAAAAAAAATAAAAATAAAATGAAATTTCTTTATTTAAATTTCTTTTAAGTGCTTGAAACCAACAAAGAATATACTTTATAGACTATTTGTATATTTACCTTTAAGAATAATCGTAATTCGTGAATGAATATTGAAAGAATTATAGATAAAGTTATTTATAAACCAAAATGAATTGAACATATAGTTTATATGAGCTCAATTCGTTTAATAATTAACTTCAAGATTTTATTTATTTAAGTCAATTAAATAAAAGATAGAACAGGCAAAATCGAAACTCACATCGTTATTCAATAATAGACGGCAAGCTGTGTTTGCTTTTGATTTTTTTCAAAATAACATTTATTATTCAATTAATAAAGTTGACAGGAGAAAACCAAATCGGTTGCCTTTACTAGTTAATAAAGTTGATAGGAGAAAACCAAATCATCATATAAAAATGACGAGTTTTATAAAATATAATAAATAATTAGAATTTTTCACGTTCACATGACGAGTTACATACAAATTTCGTCTAACCCATACGATAAGTTTTATTTTTTAATATATTTTATGAAACTTGCTTTCACATGACAAAATTCATAAATATTATAATAAATGACCTAAATTCTAAAAGAAATTTTCAACACCTATATTTCTCAACAACAAAAAAATCCACACACAATACTTACAAATTTTATTGATCTAATTCATATATTAAATGTATATTTAAACCTTACATAAATAATGTTTTTGGTTTTGAAGGTAGGATAGGATGCATGCACATTTTTCATTTTTTTTGAATAAAGGGAGAAATTACACATGGATCCGAGGCATTAAAAGCTAAGCTTGTCCAATTTGATACATTTTCTTTTGAAATAAGTACTTCCATAATATCAAAGGTTATTTGGACCATTTTTAATTGGTAAAGCTAATTAGCTAAATATAGACACAAGGGGTAAATTCAAATAAATATTGGAAGTGTTTATTAATTGCAAACAAACAACTAGATAGAAACGATAGCCCTTTTCCCCTATTTTAATTTGGAATATATCAATACTGGCAGTTATTAATTCAAGCCCATCTTAATGAGAGGAAGTTGTGATCGAGAGAAAACTCTATCCTACCAAGCTCATCTTAAATTATATTTTATTTTGTAGAAACCGAACTATTTTAATAGTTAAAAGAATGATAGTTATTAATTAAGTGTCAAGTTCGAATACGACATCTGTATGAACATTTAAACGTTTGGTTCCTTAAGTTTTAAGGGTGAATTAAAAGTTTTAGGGTTCAACAATCATCGACGATGACAATCAACAATGACAGGTGATGGAAATCGAAGGTGACCAACGAAGGTGATGAGTGACTGACAACGACATAAACTTTGACTTAATTCATGAGTCAAATTAATATTTAATATAAAATTTAGAGGTTAAATTAGTATTTTATGTAAAGTTTAAAGTAAAATTAACTAAAATTGATGGGTCAAATTAAAATTTAACCATTTTTTACTAGCATACCGTATCGGAAAAGTGACCAAAAACAAACTTCTCCAAAACTTATGACGAAAATCGAATAGACTAAAAATATAAGGGAGCATCAGTGTTGTTCACCAATTAAAATAAGGCAAGATTTGTTTTTACAATATTTTCAAATTCAGTGCTAGTGATATGGTTCTTGCAACACTTGCGCCAAAATTAAATGACAAAGGACAAATTATATAAATGGCATTTTCAAAATTCAACTTTTCGATCTAAACGGCATTTTCTCCGGTAACCAAGAATCACCTAATGACAGCGGGAACTCCACCGCCACCGGCATCGTCCAAACCCGAAGACGACCAGGACCAAACAAGTCGGTCCGCTACCATTCCCACCATCACCGGCCTTGTTCATCGGAAAAAAAGGGACCAGCGTCCGCTCATGGTGTCGTAACCGGTTTTCGTCCGGGCACGAAATATTATAATTTGGCAGGGAAATTGATGTTAATAAATAATTTTGAGAATAATTTGTGAGTCGCCATCGACCTTTTGGATTAGGTAGGTCGAATACCTAAAAATTTTCTTTTAAAATAGTTTTTAAGAAAACCATATTTAAAAGATGAACTGATCTGCGTTTTATAACCAAAAATTCGTTCTTTTTAATAATAAAAAGGGATTCGTGGTCGGTTACGTTTAGGGAAGGATTAGCACCCCTACAACGCCCAAAATTGGTACTTTTTAATTATAAATTGTCTCTATTAAAATGCAAAAATATATTTAATTTATAATTCTATTAAAAAATATTTATTTATTAAAAATATCCGAAAAGAACTTCTAGGTGCCTTAAGACAGCTCTTTTCTTTGATATTGATAAATATTAATTTAAATAATATTGTTTACTTTTTAATTTTAAAATATCAGAATAGGACATCCAGTTGTATTAAGACTGTCCTTTTCTTCGATATTAAAAAAAACAAATATTAAAAAAATATTTTATATGTATATTTATGAATATATATAAAAATTTAACAGTATAATAAAATAAAATATCACTAAAACAATATATTTTAAGCAATAAAATGAAAACATATAAAATAATAACTAAATTATGAATAAAATAAAACTAAATCTAATTCCTAATTAATTGAAATTATAGGGATTAAATATTTTTTTCTAATTTAATAATTAATGACCAAAATAAAATTATCTAAAATTCAAAATTTATAATAAAATAAATTAAAAGTATGAACTAGGGACTAAAAAATTATTTATTAAAATTAAGGGATTAAATCTGTCATTTATCCTAAATATATTATTTTAATTAAAAAGACTAAAATGAATAAAATTAAAATTCAAAGACCGAATTAAAATTCTTATAAATTCAGTTTAGTGACCAAAATGTAAAGTTTACAAATATGAAGGACTGTGGAAGGGATTTAACTATTTTGTAATTACGCGCATAGTCCTTCCCGAAACGACGTCGTTCGGGAAGGACTATATAAGTCCAAATCGGCTGGCCCGAAGGGCCAGCCATTTCATTTCTTCTTTCCTTTTTTTTTTCTTTTCTTTCTCTCAAACAGAGAGAAGAATTCTCTGTCTTCTCTCTAAACTGAGAGAAATTCGGTCGTCCGGCAGCCGTTAGCCGGCGTTCATCCGTCGTCAACCACCGCCGCCGGCCACCGTCTTCGGTGGCCGGAAAAATTTTTTTTTACATCTAAATGTAGATCGGACCGTCCTAATGACGGTCCCGATACTTTTTTCCGTTAAATGACTCCCAATCGGAGCAGATCTACAAATATACCTTCGGTTTTTTCGGTTCTCCGGCGATGTTCAGTGTTTCCGGTGACGGTCAAGGTTTCCTTGGTAAGCTTCTCCCCTCTCTTCTTCTTTTTGTTTTTGCTCTGTTGGGATCGTTGGTAGTTTTATATCTCTCTATTTTCTTCTCTTTTTTTTTCTTTTTGGTTCAGTCTCTGTCTCTTCTTGCTGTCTCTCCCTCCTTCTTTTTTTCGCAGGTGGGTGGTGGCTTTTATAGCCACCACCGGTGTTCGTCTCGGACCGGTCCGAAGAGGGGGCTTCGGTGAGTCACCGGACTACCAGTGGTGACTCACCCCGTAGCCTTGGCGTGGCCGGCTGGTGTTCTAGCTTCTGGAGTCTTCGGCTGGGACGTGGCAGCGGCGGAGTGGCGAGAAGACTGTCGGCAGCCGCATGGAAGCTGGGGCGGCGCCGCGTGGCCCTAGGGTATCAAACCCTAGGGTTTCTCTCTGGAACC